TAGGGGGGGCTTCCACAAAATGTGTCCAATTTGTTCCCGACTGTAAATTCATTACTAAAACCAAAGTCAGCAATTTTAATATTCATATCAGCATCAAGGAGAAGGTTTTCAGCCTAAGAGGAAAATAACAAAAAGGACAATGTAAAGAGCCTACATATCAGAAAGCACTCATTATAACTGTTTCAGATCCCAAGCATGTATGTCCTGCCTCTCATTGTTATAGGTCCTACCAAGTTTAGAAGGCCAGCATGGTGCTTTCGTGCGTATCTATTCAGAATTACCTCTACAGAAGATTACATGCTAACACCGTAAAAGGAAAGCTCTCATTTATATGCATAGCTGCAACTGTTTAAGAAAAGTTATTTAAAACCGATTATGTTCCATAGGGTATTTTAAACCCATGTTTTTCTTCAAGGTAAGAAACATCCCGGAACTGTATCTTAATACGATCTATTCTGAAGAACAGAAGCCAACATAACACTAATCTGTCTGGGGCTTAAACCACCAAGTTTACCCAAAGGTGCTCTATTTATTTTACTAGAGTATCATTGGTGAAGGCGAGGCTAACACCTAAGGCAACTACCAATCAGGGCTTCTGTGACTATTGAATGTAGTCCTTTGTCCTCTCTTATAGACTGCTTCCTCAACAAAGTTCTGTTCTTTCAATAAAACAATACAATGTAATATAGACTCCATTAGATCTTGTCTGTTGTAAGCTTCCTTTTGCTGTTTTAAAACTAGATTCTCTTCTGGCTGTGTAATATGGTAGAAAGCAATGATCCCCACCACCTCTATGTTTTGAAATGCTGGTTTTCCAAAATCAGAATCACTCAAAGAAGAAATTTTTTCATGTGCCTTTTATACATGCAAGCAATTCAATAAAGGATTTGCTTTTGTATATGTTTTGTTTCAAACTGTTAACAACTGATAGGCTAACAAAGTTATAGGTTACTTGGCAGATGTGTTTTATCAGGTTCCAAGAAGGAGTACAACTTGACTAAAATGAACGTCAGCATTCTCTTTATCAGTCAGGCTCTCTGCACATCATGTAGCTTTTCCCTTCCTCTCCCCCTTCCGCTTTTCTTCTTTTAAGGTATGCTAGTTTGAGATAACCATTTTGGAAAATGGAGATATATCTAGCACCCAAAAACATATAAAAATGTGGTATGATTTATGACATAGTTATTATACCAGCAAATAAATTTAGGAGATTTATATTAAATCAGAACATTTCTGGACTGCGTGACAAAACCAGGTTATGTTGATGTCTTGATGTAAGGGCCTGGTCATTGAAAACTTCCCAGGCTACCTGGGAGTAAACTGGACTTTTCTCGATCTCTCTAAAGATGTCTGGATGGATATCAAAGTATCCAGGCTGCTTCAGAAGAGGACAGCTGGGGGGGCTTCTGAGAGCAGGAGCGGGGGGGGGGTGCTTCTGGGAGCTGGGGGGTTTCTGCTCCTTCCAGGAGCACATGGAAACCCCTCACTGGACTGGAGGGAGAACACCGGGTGTTGAACATGATTCTTGAATTTTTTTTCATATAAGAAATGAGGTGATAAACTGAGTCAAACACACAGGCAGGAGAATTGTCCTTTCTCTTTCTCTGTGGAAGTGATTTCCCCTTAAAATAGGTGAAAGGAGGATGCTGAGAACTAGAACAATCTGGAGAACTAGAAAATCTGTTAAGTTCAGAAAAATGGAGCCAAAATACAGGAGTAGACATACTGTTTAAGACAGAATTTTCAAATAAAACACAACTGATAAAGGGCTACTATTCAAACTATCTAAGGAACTCATGCAACTCAATTGCAACTAAAAAACAACCCAATTAAAAAATGGCCAAAGCCATTTTTCCTAAGAGGACATACACATGGTCAACAGGTACATGAAAAGGTGCTCAAAATAATTATTGGGGAAATGCAAATCAAAATCATAATGAGATATCACATCCTACCTGTTAGGATGACTATCATCAAAAATATAATGTGGAGAATAGGGAACCCTTGTACACTATTGAGGGGAATGTAAATTGGTACAGACATTATGGAAAACAGTATGGAGTTTCCTCAAAACACTAAAAATAAAAAAGACCCCATGATCCAGCCATCTTCTTCTGGATAGGTACCCAAAGGAAATGAAATCGGTACCTCAAAGTGATATGTGCGCTTCCACGTTCACTGCCACAAAATTTCTTGGCTAGCATACATTTTTTTATTCCAAAGTATGCTAGTTTATACTATTCACACGCATTTGATGTTCATAAAAACATTTTAATAACTTCCTTATTACTTTGGGCTTTATATGTAAACAATGAGCACTGGCTCTTACATCAAATAAACCTGGATGTGTGCCCTGACCTTGCTTCTGACCGAATGGGACCTCAGGCATTTTTAGTTTGGGACGAAGTCCCACATTTATCTATTAAAATAAGCTTATTAATGATAAATCAAATCCTTTAGCCTTTAATGCTAGATAACATCTCATTTATAGTTTCTTCATTTTCTCAGTGAGAATATTGCTTTTCATAAAGTTGCTGTGAGGATTAAATAAAAAGGAATTTCCTTGTATAGTGCCTGGCACAATTAGACAGGCGATTGAAGACAGTTCTAATATTATAAACTATCCGCTAAGAATTAAGAATTTTATGTTATGAAATCAGTGGCTTACCTTAAGATCACGGTGAACAATGCACTTTTGATGGCAATACTGTACAGCAGATACAATCTGAAATAAATATTTGGATAGAAGATTAAAAATTATTTTATGGTAAAAAAAAATCACAACTTTCTCCAATTATCACCTCCAATTTAGATAAATTACCTAGATTTCAAAGTAATATTAAATAATTTCACTGTTCCTTTAAGAATCTATAGTAAAGTAATGAAACTTTCACTGTTAAATGTTGAAAATGTGGAAAAGCAGTATTCTCTTGCTAAAATACACTAAAATATTTCTTTGTCAGGGTCTGTGAGGATTTTTATGTGTTGTTATATTTCTGTTTACATGATCAAATATGTATGATTTATAGTTTTGGTCAAATGGTTTATTTATTTATTTGGACTAAGAGCTTTAGCAAATATGAATCAGTATTCCAAGACAGTTGGTTCAAGTTCAAAAAGCAAAACTATATTTTAGGAATTACATTAAATGTGTTCAAGGCACGTTTCTTTAGTTGAGGCCAATTTATTAAGAACTTATCAGTGGGGTATTTAGCAATATCCTATATCTGTCTGTTCATATATAAAGAAATGGGAAATTTTTTGTGCCTTAAAAAGAAACCCAATTATCAAAAGAAAAGAAGGGAAAATGAAATTTAATCTTAATCCTGTTATTAACTCAGCTGGGCCAAGTAATTTATACCTGTAACTAGATTTTGTGTCGTCAACCATTACATAGGGCTCTTTGGGGACAAGGGCTAAACAGGAAGGAACCAAACAGAGTAAGAACGACAGATACAAATGAGAAATAGGTTATAAACAATTCTTTGATAGTTATTTACCACATTACATACAGAAATGAAAAGATTCTGACAGCATTCAAGTAAGAGCTATTTTGTTCATATAATTCTATCTCATGTAAAGGAAGACGACCATTTTAATGCACAGCAGAACATTCAATTCTGTGGTTTCGGTTAAAGGTAAACACAGTTTGAATGTTGAATATTGGTCTGGCATTTACAAATGAAAAGAGAAATAAGATATTTAAATGTCTAAAGGTGATATGAAGTATGACCATGATAATAGGAATATGGGTTAAAAAAACAAACAAACTTCCAAGTAGAAGTGAAACTGACAGTTCAGTATTATAAAATTATTCTAATGTATATAAATGGTTCGAAGACAGAGAAGACATGAATTCAAAACAAAATCAACACACAATGAGTAAGATGTAATTCAATTAAATTTATTTTGATTCAACCGTTTATTGAGTACCTGCTATGTGCAAGAAAATGTGCTGGTTGTAGGGGAACACAAACCCTAACACTACTACAGGGACCCTGCCTTTAGGGAGCTCAAAGTCGATCAGGGGGAGAAAACAGGTACATAAGGAGTTACACTATGAGGCAGAATCATAGATGCAGAGAAACTAAGAAGTGAGGGAATCACAAAAAAAACAGAGAATCAATCCAGTTAGAAATGCTTCCTGGAGTTGGTGCAATTTGATTTAAGCTATCCTTGAAGGACAGTAATATTTTAAGACATGGGGATCTGGTGATGGGGAGGTAGGGGGGAAGGTGGATTGAAATGCACTGATGTGGAGGCAACACAATGTATTTGAAAAGTGGGTGGGGAAATGGTAATAGTAAACCTTGACAGACAGGTTGGCAAGTCTCTGGGCTCTCAGCTAAGCAGGTATGACAGCACCACTCCATGTGTCTGAGCTGAGCGATTGTGAATAATTATGATCAATAATATAGCAGAATCTTACAATGAATATTTGTAGTATTCATTTTCTTAAACAGTATGCTTCAAAATTCTAATATCCAATTTTCATTAAAATATGTTCATTGACCAAGAGGTATACACATTTATGTGTAAATATTAATACACCTTATTGAACATAATATATGGGCTATCGATGTTCATATTATAAGGCCATTTTTGTATCATGGATGACAGAAGACTACTGATAATGGCCTTGTCTTTGTCTTGATACAGTGAAGAAGGCACGTGATAGATAATGATTTGGTTACCAAACATGCATTTCACATTAGACAGAACGACGTCTATGAAAGCAGTTCTACAGGCACTTCTGGAATAAAAACCCCTGAGCCTTAAGAATGGAAAGATCACTAAAGAGAATGTTCCCCACACTCTACGACCTCCGACCTCTAGCAGTCAAACGCAGTGGTTGATAATATTACCACCCTTAGGTAGCAGAGCACCAATCCAGCTCTGGAAGAGAAGTTTCGGTCTCTGACTCTGCAAGCCCAGGCTTTACTGCGTTCTTCTAGGGCCAGACCCTCCCATCTCAAAACCTTCTGCACCTCCATCAACAGGATGTAGGAACTTCCCTATGGTCCTTCTGTTCTGGGTCTTGAAACCATGATTTACAATCAGCCCTGCACAGTCCCTAAGACCAGCCATGTCAGTTTTGGTGTGAGGTGCAATTGTTGAGGTTGCTTTGCAATTACTTATAAGTGAGTCAGGAATTCCCAACCTTGAAGTAATAGCCTTGATATTGGAGAAGGTGAGTCAGTATTGTAATTTTCTTGCACTCCCTCAAGTCCTAAGGAATGCAGAGGCATTGTATGTTCAATGACTGCTGGCGTGGTCTTACGCTGTCCTAGTATCTAATAGCAGAGTCAAGGACGTATAGACGTATATCCTTGCTAATATAGTACATTCCTGCACAGTTAAAAATGTTTTAAGTCATTTCATAAAATACAGAGTGAAAAAAAATAAAAGAAAATGTACATTTATTAATTCTTTAAGAGTTTTAATTAAATTTATAAAGAAAAATAAGCTCCTCAAAAATAAACTTAAAAACAAATATGACCTTTTATTAAATAACTACAAAAATGGTGTATATATGGTGTGTATCCCTGGTTTTAAAATAAATGTGAGTTAGTTACCTTTTTGTATTTGGAGGAAACATAGATAGATAGTAAATACATTTAACATTTATAATAAATGGATAATTAGAAAGAAAATACTCCCCATTGTTTTACATTTTAAATAGCACTCATTTGACACTCAACCTGAGCACCATGAGGAATATGAAGCCGATTTCAAAATAATTCAGACTTTATTGTTTTAAAAAGCCGATTAGTGATTATTCGGATCTTTTAGAAAATATCTATGCCCCAGCCTCTTATTTCTCTCCAACCCATCAGTGAAGATGGACAGGCACTTCCACCTTCTCTAATTCCATATAGTAGCCAGTCGAGTTTTCTATACATTTTTCAATCAATAAATGAAACCAGCTACTAAAAAGAATAAGAGTGGGTAGGAACAGTTTTTAAAATATCTATTAAGATCCCAGTGGGAATATTTAATGCCAAACGGAACTTTCTTGCTGGTCAGCTACTAAATAAACCTACCTTGACTGATACTGAAAGAACAGTGACATTTAAGGTGATGATGGTAATGCTTTACTTAAGGTACGTCTGGACAGGAAGGGAAAGAATTTAACAGTGTGTGGCTGAACACCATTCAGTTTCTCAGTGTTGCTTCCTTATCACCGGTTGTGTTGAGATTCAGCTACTTTAAGATGAATGCTTCTAGGAATCTATCTGGAATAAAAGGGCTATGCATGTCTTTGGAATAATGCATTTTGCAAACTGTGTTCCAAAAGTCATGAGTCTGTGAGGTACTAACAGAGGTTTCACAAAACAAAGTCACTCCATGATCAATTTGGAGAATGCTATGACAGACAAAAAGTTAAACAGGTTTTTTTTATTCCCCTTCTTCAGGACTTGTCTACCTATTTATATGTAAACATGCATGTAAAATCTCTTAGAAGACAATCTGATATTTCCCAAACCTCCTGATTCTAATTGTAGAATCAGTGTTCCTGCTTACAGAATTGGTAGTGGCTATTTTTAAATGAAATATTTTAAATTCCAAATATTTAAAATCCCAAAGTTTTGGGTATAGTTAAGTTGTCTGCTGAAACTTTATTTCAGTAAATTTTATGAACAATTTACAAGTCATGAATTTGTCATTTCTCCAATAATCTATATTTTAATCCCTTTATTCCTAAAAATTAAAAATAAAATGCTAGCTAAACTTAAATTACTTTTTCTTATTTTATCATTTCTGTAACAAGTCATATTCAAATTGAACTGGAAATATAAATATCTTACCATATTCCTCTTCTACATTTGCAAGGTTCCTTACCTACCTTACTAAATAAAATTGACCAGAGTCTTTAAATCTACAAAAATATGAGTTCTAACACAAAGACATCTTAAATTATGGAAGAAAATAACACAATAACCTCTTTAAACAGTACACATATACAAGTATACTGTATATATAAAACAATACTTGATAACACTTATTGGATAAAGGATTGTTTCTTTTCTATCTCAGTCTAGCCTATATTTCTAAGGCTATCAAAGAAGTTAATGAGTCTCACCTATCAACATTTCACTATTTAAGGTCATCTAAAAATAACCATTTGCAACTCTTTTCAATTTAAATTCAGGAAGAACAGATTTGCTTTTCAATTTTCCATTCTTAAAAAGTATAAGAACTTTTTCTTTTTAAAATACCATGTACCCTGATGCCCAGTTTGTGACACTGTCCATTGTACATCACTAAAAAATATCAGCAAAACAAAGTTGAAAACTACTTTCCATACCTGCCTAAATTTTGCACGGGCCTCTTTTTCTTTCATTCTTCCATGGGCAACTAAGTAATCAAATACTTCACCTGAATCAGAAAGGTAAAGCAGGCGGTAAAATATACATAGATTTTCAATTAACAATATACGCAATGTCGAGTTTTTTGCCTTGTTTTTAAAAAAGCTTTTGGCCCACAATTTTCTGATAGTTCTATGTAAATCATAAACTACTACATGAATAGGAAAAAAAAGTAATTACACACAGAATTGAGTACCTATAGCAACTTTATGATTTAGCAAAACTCTTTAAAAATAAATCCTAAAACATAACCAAGAAAACTTGCTTTCTGCTTTCAATTATTATGTAAAAAAAAAAAATACAGTCAACTCTTTATTATCCGTTCTAATAAAGGGAAGCCACAGCACGGGCAATCAAAAATTATACTTGGTTTTGTATTTGGGGGTCTACATTTCAAACAATGTAACAAAAGTCATATTATGTTGGCTCTCTCTCCTTTAAATTCTCCTGGTCATGTAATCTTGGTCAAATTCCATCTTGCTACTTTCATACACATTGATTTTTTTCTTTTCCTTCCAACTCTCCCCAGACTCACTTTATCTATTCTGCTCTTAATTACTTATTACACATAATTAAATCATCCTTATGTGCATCTCCCATTACCCCAAATGGCCTGCAAACTACTTGAACACCATTATCACATCGGCACTTTCTTAAAGTAATTTTTTAAAATTTTTATTTATCTATTATTATTATTTTTTTAGCTGAGCCATCCTGCCACCTGTTGGCAGCTCAGCGGCAGCTCAGCTCAGGCCGGGAATCGAACTGCAGTTGCTCAGATCTCAAACTCTTGAGCCACTCGGCCGGCCCTGATCGGCACTTTCTTTGTATCCCCATCCTCATGGCAGAACACAAAACGGATAGACAATACATATTTGCTGAAATAATTTAAAGACAACTAGAAACTGTAGAAACTTTCCACTAGATCCATTACTTCACATGTCTGTAAGTTTCTTCGTTTTTCTCTAGTCAAAAATAGTTAAGAAAACCAAATTAATGTTTAGTTACAATATTAAAAACAAACTATCTCCATGTAAGGGAGAAATTTGTTTCTTGTGTTCTTGTAATTACAATTTGTACCATAGATACACATGCATATTAAAAAAAACCTCACAAAATGGCTTAAAGGGTTCTTGTACAGCAAAGTGGTTAAAAACTCAGGCTTTATAGTCAGACCAATTTTGGTATGAATCCTGGTTTAGCCATAAGTAGCTACTGGGAGACATTAGGGAGATTTCTTAACTTTATTAAGACCCAGTTTCTACCTATTGTCTATCTCACATGGCTTTCGTGAAGATTCAATGAAATAATGCATGTGCTTAGCACTGTGACTAGCATATAGTAAGCACTCAATAAATTATATATTTGTATCCAGGTATACAGATATATTACATATACATATATGCAGTATCAATCCTAGAATATAAATATTAAAAATTAAATGTATAATGGTGCATGTCAGATGAAACTAATACATCTACAATGTCAGACAGCACATTGTATCAAGCATATTTAAATGATTTAATGGGATGATGAAAACAGAGAAATGAAGCAATGCTCTAGATGACCCACCATAGTGGTGAATTCTAGATATGTGAGGTCAGGCTGGGAAAGATAGACACAAGAGTTCGAAAATTTGGACTGCTCTTAAGCTCTGCCTGGAATGCTCACACCCCAAATATGGACGTGACTCAGTCCTTCACTTATTACATATCGTGTGTTTATGGTTTGCGTCCCCAACTAGAAGGTAACCGCCTTGATGGCAGGGACTTTGTTTTTGTTCACCCACATGTTTCTAGCACCCAGAATATTACCGTGAACATTTAGTAAATATTGTTTGCATGAACGAAAGAAGGAATAAACACACCAATTCAGAGCAGCCTTCACGTCTTCTTTTAATAGGCTCTTTCAGACAAAAGGTGGTTCAAAATCAAAGGGCGCTCCCTGCCTTCCATCACTGGAAATCTTATGTCCCATCAGTGAACCAGCACCAACTGATCCACTCCTGGCAAATAGGCCGCTGTGTGCCCCATTCTCGTTCATACTAGAGTTCCTTGTGCATGGCAGACTCAGTCCCAAAATGTCTGGAAATTTCGGAGGACAAATATTAAGTGTTTTCTTTTCCAGAGTCACCTTGCCATTTATAGATTAAAAGGGCAAGAAAATGATTCTAGATTTTCTGCCAGAACCATGATGGTTTCATTCCAGGATCGTTGACAAGACCAAAGGAAACGCATCACTAGGAATCAGGGTTGACTGAGGGACCACTGGATTCTGGTTTGGGCTGAATTCCAGGACACGTCTCTCTCCACTCCACCGCCCCACCCCTCCCAACTATGCTACTGAAGGACAGCAGGGAGGACACGGGGTGCTCACTATTCCTGTGGCCATTGCTCCCTTCACTAGCACCAATAGAGAGTTGACTGTACTCACCCTTCACTGTTCAAACCATATACGTACTAACACATATATATTATGTGTGGTGGACCTTCATAAAAACAGAATGGAGTCCACAGAATTTTAGCAGTCTAGAATTTCTCATATCAAAGCATGTCTAGCCCCTTTCTCTAGACTTCAGATGACTAAAATGAAAAAAAGTCTAACTAAACTAAAAATAACATTCAGGGTTCCCACACTGACAAACTGTTACATAAATCTAACTGAAGGATAGAAAAATAGAGTAATAGTTCAGAATGTGGTATTTGTAGGTTCATTAGTTGTATTATAGGCCTACATTTTATGTACATTTGCATGGCTGAATAATTTTTTTACATCCAATAATAATAAATATTAATAACATAGGTTTTCAGGTTAAGCCAAAAAACCTACATTGAAGTATTTTCAGGATGGAAAAAAGCTCTGCAAAAAACAAAATCTACTAAAACTTTTAATCTGCATAAAAAACTGAAAAAGCAATTAAAATATATTAAATATTTGTAGTAAAAATTTTTTGAAATCTAAGAGACAGCATAAAATTATATAACTTAGATGCTATGGACTAGAATAAATCCTCTTATTCTAATTACATAAAATCTGAATCACCAGAAAAATCTATACAGTTTATTAGTTAAAAGGACTCAACACTAAGTTTTTCTGTTGATTAGCAAAAAAGTTAATCAGCCAAAGTGGTTTAAATAATTATAGCTGCCTTCCTTTTTCGTCAATTGCTTAAATTTTCTGACCCCTTAAAACTTTCAAGTATTTTTTTTTTACTTATTGAATGATTTAACTCCATGAATTTTAAACCTGTTTCTGAAAAAGTTAAGTCCTATGCCTAAGAGAGCTGTGATTTTGAGCCGATGTATCTCTCATTTGAGGGAAAGTGCAGATGAAAATGGTTTTCTATACATATCAATGTTTAAAAGTCATTCCTATTTTTGACACTATGTAGTCAAAACATACATTACATTTTAGTACAAATGCATCTTACTATTTCCCTGTCAACGTGGTCTTCTTAGAAAATATATAGATCAACACTTGTTTAAACGGAACCATTTTATGGATTATCTTGAAAAATGCATGTATATTGAGAATCTGTCATATACGAACAATCAGTGAAATAAATATCTGACTTAGAAGATGCTCTTACCATAGACTTAGTTACATTCTGAATTTGAGATTTCCTGCTTATAGCCAAGAACTTCTAATCATCATCATAATATGATAATGTTGTAATATTTACATAACAGAATGGAAACATTCCTAGGTGACAGTACAAATTTAGTTTTGAAAAATGTCCCTAAGTAATTTTTAAATAAGCCAAGAATTCAACTCTTAAATGTAAGATCAATAGGTCTTGGAAGCAGACACTGATTTTTCCTTAAGATATTGCTTAAAGGCATTTTAATAAAACTACAGATTCACTAACAACAATAAAGACAAAAGTGTTAGGAGGAACCTTTAGGTGTTGACAATTCTGTCTGTCTCATCACAGATAGCTTTTCAATCCCCTTTATCCTTACCCCCACTTGCGTATTCCATGACTAAATAGAGGGTCTTCTCTGTTTCAATAACTTCAAACAATTTTACTGAAAAAGAAATTAGAGACATAACTCTGTAACTGTTAGCACATACTGGATATGATTTAATAAAATTTAAGGTAACACTTAAACCAGTGACAAATCTGCATATTTATTAAAGATTATTAGTTATAATTTGAAATTTAAAAATTTTCCCAAGGGTTATTACTACTGTGGAAGAAAATGACTTACCATAAAGTGATTTGGAACCAACTGGTGGGTCAAAAGAGAGTTAAGTTTCTGGGATTAAAAAAACCATTACTTTTTCTAATTAGAATAAGGTAATAAAAGGAAAATCTTAAAATCAGAATAAAATTTTTTAGAATAAAATTCTAATTACAGCTTTAAAAGATACTATATTATCATCAGCTTATCATAAAATGTTAATCTTTAGTATAGACACACAAAAAAATTCTACAATTATATATTATAAAAGTTTCTGGTTAAAAACTATTAAATCACCAGGTTGATACAGTTCAAATTATACACCACAAATGATCACATTAATATTTCTAATAAACAAAAGATTTTTAAATGTGCAACAAGTGTTTCAAAAATAAACAGATTAAAAGAATTGCTTTCCTCTTTTTAAAATCCAATGACTTCATATAACATATGTAATCAATAAATGTATTTGTAAATATTTATTTATGGAAATAAATTCACTAAAATTGAAATCAACTCTTTATTTTCTTAAATTCAAATTAGTTATCTTGCCTATAAACTATGATCAAACCACAATGCATAGTATCAAATAAATTATCTGGAATTCATTTTTTGAATGAAATCTAAATGGCATGAAATCTCTCTTTAGAGAGAATGATTAAGGAGATACAAAAAACATTTATATGCATTAACTCCAAGTGACATCCATTATTTTAGTGAGGGAGCAAAAGATAATAAGCTAGTAGAAAACAGCAATTTGTAGCCTTCACTTAACTTCTTTATAATCTATTTTTACCCAAAGTATCAGTTTCTCATGTTATCACTTTTCATCTATCAATATTTATATATAACAACCTTAAAACTGTATCTTCAGATACCCTCAAATGAAGGAAAATACTTCATCATTAATTTACACATAAATTTCATACCTATGTTAGGATGATTCAGTATCTTCATTATTCGTACTTCTCGAAACAACTGTTAAAGAAAACAGGTAGACATACTTCTGTTAAAAAAGAACACTCAAGCAGAGAACCAATGAAAACATCCATTTGAAGAAATTAATCTGCTTATAAGACACTATAGGAACCTGGTAGGTAAACTCGTGTGTGTGTGTGTGTGTGTGTGTGTGTGTGTGTGTGTGTAAAATATATACAAATAAAACTTTTATTTGACTGCTCTTCAGTAACTAAGAATAAAAGGAAAATACTGTAGAAATGATACTAAATGATCCTTCACATGATTTTTATCTAAAAACAACCTCCCTTGGGGGATGGCGGTCTGACCCTACTCATCTCTTCTGGTTGATCAGGTATTTCATGAAAGATTAAATAATATAAACCTGTTTAAATAAGACTTGAAAGGGAAACACTTTTCAGTAGCATTTTTAGGAAAGCTTGTGCAATAATATAAAATAAAAATATATTTACCACTTCACATAAAACCAAAATGAAAAGAAGTCACTTGAAATATGAATGTTAAAATTGCCCTTCCTTTTATTTTACTTTTAAACAATATAAGGCCCATTTTTAAAAGCATGATTTGGCTTTTTCTTTTTTTTTTTACTCTATATTGCCTTTGAGTATGTGTAAAGATTCAAAATCAAGCAACTAGTTCTAGAAAATAGAACCAATTACTGATATTCTGAAAGAGGAAAAGTAGATGCTAGTGGAAGTGATTAGGGGGTTTTAAGTGCTATACTGACTCAGGGTAACGAAATGTCAGAATCCTGACCTATCAATCACCCTTCCTCTCAAAGAAGCACTTAATTGTTAGCTAGGTTTGTTTGGGTCATGAACTCCAAATCTAGAGAATTTGGGCCAACTGGACAGCAGCATGTGGGTTCAGTAAAGGCCTAAGATGTCTCCTCCTCTCCATGCCTCCCCTGAACCCTTGCCTAAACTCGAATATTCCAGATGGGTGCTCAGGGGACAGACTACACTAATATCAGTCTTCTGTGCCAACTGCAGCGTCAAAAGGAGCAGGAAAAGGGCGCAACAGTGAGGCGCGCGCGCACGTGCACGTGATCTTTTAACCCAGTGCAGACCCTTACCAGCAAGGGGGCCAATCGTATCAGTGCCTGCTCTTCCTTAGGAAAGGCGGAGAGGGCTGAGGGGAGGAGAGCTGAACATTTAGACCGTGATAAGAAGTCTACCCTGAGATGGAGTTATGATTTAAAAAGTCAATGACTGTATGTATCACGTGTCCAGGCACAAGTAAGGAACATAGAGGTTTGCAAATATGTTAAATATATTGTCCATGTGAGTTTCTAATTCTCTAGTTTTTCTTTCTCATTTTGAAACCATGACATCATGATGTCATACATCAATTTAATAAGTGAGCTCTGAATTCATTAGCGCCCTGCAAACTTATGGTTTCAACTTTGCTGAGGGCTGGAAAAGAAGTCGGAGTTTGTTAAAACTGCATGTTGAATTAGAGAGATAAGCTCTCCGTGAAGACTTGAGATGGGTCGTCTGTGACTAAAAGGCAGGATTTACTGTTCGGACTTGAGGACAGCTCTTCTGGTTGTTTGGAGGCCTCTGTTTCCTTCTTGGTTCTTGGCCTTGTTCCAGATAATGGAAGTTAGTAAACCACCCTCAATTCTGTGAAGAGGTATTTACTTTTCAATTCAGTCCTACCTGCTTAGGGCTTTGGGTCAGGATTAGCCAAACTGTATCAGTGTTAATCAATATTTGCGTCAATTGTGAGCATTTTCCTTTTCTCCTCTCAACTACTATTCCTTCCATGCCTGGTGCCTAAGTAGACAAGTGGACATGGCTTAGACAATCACCCAGAGCATCGCAGTCAGGGGCCAGTCGAACGCACATTCTCTCTCCCAGACCTGCTCACTGTGTTGCCCTTGGCCTTGTCAATGTCACAGGATTTCTTCGCTGCTTGCTTGATCTTGATGCAGAAAACAACTCTGTGGCCATGAAGAAGTTGACAAAGGCAGCCATCAAGCTCATTCCTATGGGGCAAGCTCTTCCAGGCTATCAGCAGTCACAGTAAACTGGGCTCAGAAGGAGGGTGACATCCAGACCTTCTGTGCCTTTCGACACAGCCTCATTGGCCTTTCAAGTCCAGTAATACCTTGGTTTGCGAGCATAGTTTGTTCCGGAAACAAACTACTCGAATTGCAAGACATCGCTTGTTTACCAAATTAAAATGTATTAGAAATGTCTGCTCGTCTTGCAGAACACTCACAAACCGGGCTACTCGCAATCCAAGGTTTTGCTATATTTGCTCTGATTTGGGTTTGCCTTCATTGTCAGCTTTGTAAAAATCCTATCTGTATCTTCGACAGCACCTTACTGGCCTGTTTCTGTAAAGTGTGGGTGCTGCTTTACCCTGCAGTTGACATTCAGTTCCAAGAGATTGCTAGGACCTTGTTTAAACTCTCTGAGGTACCATTCAATGAGGGATTTTAATATATAATGTGTCTATATTAATGGAACCCTAGAGATTACAGTCTCTGCTTTTTAATTTCTAGGATCATCATATTGCTCCTTTCAGCCTTCAGACATCTTATTCAGACATCAACTATTTTATAAAATTATTGCTCACAGCAGTATAACAACTTAGGCTAACTTTTTAGGTTCTTCCCATGAAATAGTAGTTCAGAAAAAGAGATCTGAATATTATTAAATGAATATATAGGAGATGATTTCTAACTAAAACAAATAAAATGATTATTCAGTAGTACTTGTACTTCCCACGCTTGACAACTTGCAGTCAGTTATACATTGCAAAGTTATAGAAGAAAATACTCTTTAAATGACAGGCTGTTCCACTTTCCCAAAGCTTTATCTTCATAGATAGATTATAAGATCCTAATTTTTTATGAACTGGTACCAGTTTATATTGCTTAAGCCATTCCCAAGGCCTTACACAACTGTGGGCTCAAACTGGTGCTAAGTAAATATAATTGTTTGCGACATCAAATTATATAACTTCAGAGAGGTGATATTAAACATAGACTAGATTACATTTTAAAATATGGCCAACCTTACTAGTAATCACAGAAATGAAAACAAGATACCATTTGGCATCCATAAGGTTGGAAAACATTAATAATAGTGGAGCAAGAAAGTGGAGGAACAGTAAATCTCATACACTGTTAGCAGAAGTATAAATTGGTTCAACCACTGTGTAGAGCAATATGACAATATCTAGTCAAGTTGAGAATATGCATACCCTTCAACCTGGCGATTTCACTTGAAGAGATATATTCTTCTATACGTCTTCACAAAAAGATGTATGTAACAATGATCACTGCAGCATTGTGTGTAACAGCAAAAACAAAATGCTAACTAACTAGGAATAAAAACGAAAATGAAACACAAAAACACCAGGAACAATCTAAATATCCACTAACAGAAAAATGGACAAACTGTAGTATATCTATTAAAAGGAGAATGGGTAAACTGTGGCATAGTCACACAATAATAGTAAAAAAAATGAGCTAAATTATATAGACTAACATGAATAAAGCTGTAAGACAATGTTATATGAAAAAAGCAAGATGCAGAAGGATAGGAAGCTTAAAAATAAACAATATGTAGTATTTTATATACAGATACACATGTGAAAAATTTTTAAAATTTGAATGGGAATAAAAAAGATCAAATTCAGAATAGTAGTTTTTCCGAGGTAGGAAAAGATAGAAACAGAACCCAAAACTGACACATAGGGCTTCAACTGTATCTGCAGTTTTCTCAAAAAAAAAAAAAAACAAAAAACAAAACAGAAATGAAACATTTTAGTCTGAAAAAAAATATCATGAGAAAGCAACTTTTTTAAAAATGGGAAAAGACATTTTGAAGTCCCCATCCAAAAATTAAAAATAGACTAGTTTACTATGTCAACAAACTGCCCAACTTAGAAAAAAATACAAGTATGACTCTTCAAATAACTATATGAGAACATGACTTTTAAAACAGCCAGACAGTTAGTCTAAAATTCTTAGGTGACTTAAAGATTCCTAGCTTCCTTCATTTCCAAGAAAAAGTTCCTCCAAATTTATTTCAGTGAATCTTATATAGTTTCTAGAGAATATAGAAATAGATGTAAGCTTTCCAGCCAATAAAGGTCAAGCAATTAGAGCAGAGGTGTTAAGCATCAGAGGTAGAATACAAGTATCAATAACAAAAACCAACAAAACTACTACCAAACCCCAAACAAACTAAAGTGCTTCTTGATGTGTAATCTTTGGTTATGAGTGCTGAATTTTCAGGAAGACAGGTAATTTAACATTGTCGTAGAGACGGGAAGGGTTTCCCTAAAGAAATGACTCCAATAACTAAAGAGGACCACCAAGGTTTAGAAAAGTCAGATTTTTGGTCAGTAAACTGCTTAAAACACAGTTTAGTCTTTTCAGAAAATCTGGTTATCTTACCTTACATTTAAACTGTTGATATTTTAGCTAGACACTAACATTACTGGTATCACCTTTTATTTTATTTTATTTTTTCTTTAGTTTTTTTTTTTAATTGGGGAATTGGGAGATGGGAACAGCGCTGGGAAATTGGGGGAAGGGGAACAGACAAGTTGCTGTCCTTTTTGTTCTTCAGTCTAGTTGTGGAGGACGTTGCTTCACTGGCCCAAGTTGGCACCATCATTGCGCTCTTCCCGGGCGAGGCAGATCAGTTGCCGGCTTCTGGACGGCCGCTCACGCTGGCTACTGGCTACACATGGTAGCCCATGGCAACCTGCTGCAGCAGGGGCTGCAGCCTACGCCTTCGCCGGCGACTCGGGGCAGCCCAGCTCCAGGTTGAGCTGTTGTTCAGCATCTTAGCTGTAGAGGGCAGCATCACTGGCCCTCATATGTGGGATCTGAACCAGGGTCCTCTGGCATCCCAAGCCAGTTCTTAACTAACGCGCCACTCGGCCGGCCCCTGGTATCACCTTTTAAAAGAAATTTGTTTTAACACCTTTTCCCTCAAAATCTGTCATATTTCAGTGTGGAAGATACACTTCCTGCCAATTCTTCACGCTGCAGGCTAAAGAGACACATCTTTCAGTAACCATAATTTTACGATAATCTGTTTTTAGTATTTCTTTCCAAACCAAATCAAGATCGGAGGCGTGTTGCTGACCACCAGTTTCATGGAGGATGAAGCAATGAGTGACTGGGCATTAGGTGTCATCTTATTTATTCACATGGCAGTATGATTCCTTGCAGAGAACAAAAAAGGCCCTCCTAACATTTCACCATTATTTTTTTTTAAGAGTGTGATGGATTGCCTCTTTTTCTAATTTTTCTATAGAACTCACACTTTTTTTTTTTTTTTTTTAGCTGAGCCATCCTGCTACCTATTGGCAGCTCAGCGGCTGCTCAGCTCGGGCTGGACTCGAACCGCTGTTGCTCAGAGCTCAAACTCTTGAGCGAGCTCTTAACCAACTGAGCCACTCGGCCGGCCCTTACATTTCACCATTATTGATTGAAGACAACTCTTAGAGTCTACAGCCCAGCTCACAAAATGCTAACTCTTCTCTTATCATGTAGGTTTTCATTTGACCCACAGAAGAATTGGTCAAGACTTTTCCATCAAATGATCCACACACATGAAAAGAGCTACATGGAAGAAGTGCTCAGCGCCTAAGTGGTTTTGCTCCGCTATAAAGCGCAACATGCTATAAAGCATGCAGATGTGAGAGTAAATGATAGTTCAACATATGTCCATCAGGGATGTTTGTGAAGGGATGCTGCCAAAGAGGCTTTTCTGCTTTCTCCTTGATCAAAATATTTGTCAATTTAGTGATTGATTTTACAAGTTTCATTTCTTGATAATTTGCTAAATTATTAACTTGAATATTGCTTTCACAGTTCTGTCCTCCTCCTCTACCTTCAATGCCAAATCTATCAACATGACAAAGATGATTTTGCAGATGTTCTAGAAAACTTAACTAGCTTAGCGGAGAGGCCTACTGGTTTTATCTGAAAATTCACCAAAGTTTAAATGGTGTAGGTCGCCACTTGACAACATTTTACACAACAGAAAACACCATATACAACAGTAAGTGGATTTAATAAAGTCCAATCTTCAGATGTCAATTATTGACATTTCTTACACTTCCCCTGCTTATGCAAAATCGCCGTCCTAGCGCAAAGATTGACATTCTCTATAACTTCAATGCAACAGCCCTCTTTTATTTAATGACATAATTCTGAGTTGTTGCAGTCTTGTTTCTGTTTTCATTATGGTTTTACTGCTCAGCAAATCACTTTTGAACCACTGAGTCATTTCTGTGAACTGGGAATGTAATGTGACATAGAAAGTGCAAATTAATAAACAGTACACAGAAAATAGGTACACTGCACCCTGGAGACTCTGCGCTGAGACAGGCTGACACGAACTTTGTCATCTGTGTATACATTAATGTTTCTAAGTTTCAACACCTGGTGGAATTTCTGAGAAAATGATAATCTTCCATTTCAAGTGTCTGAATTATGAATAAAAGTGCTTCATTGTTTTGCTTTTCCTCCAACATCACTCGGCTGCTTAAAAGATCACCAGGAGAATCACCAGTCCAGTTAATAGACTCTGCTCTAAAAAATACTAATATATGAGGTGGGACTAGTGCTCTAAAGAGGAAGAAGTAAATACGGCATCTACACAAATACTTTTAAAACTATGAAAACTTTCTAAATTGGATTCCATTCATTCAAAATATATGATACAAACAATAGGAGCATATTGTGTGAAATTGTTCAAGACAAAGACGCTTAACAAGTCCAAAGACCAGACAGTTCTTAAGATCTTGGTATTTTATAGGTTTTGAACAGTTGGGGCATCAACTTTAGATTACTCTTATCTATCATTGATGTTGGCAAAGGAAGTAATAGTTCCTATAAATATGTTATACACAGAAGCCAATAGAGGAGAATTAGCTTAAATTCAGATCAAGTCCAGGACAAGATTTAACCAACCACTTCTGGGTGTAAGATTAAAATGAATCCTTATTTCAAATATACGTGCTAGCATTATCTCCCTTTAACAAGCACACGTAAGATATGCAGAGCACATTTTACTATATTTTACGTATAGGACTTGAATGTCAATGCTAAAGAAAACAATTGAGTTACTTTTTATTCCATTACTTATTTTTAGATATGACTGACTGGGAAATGCTACTGGCATTGAACGGGTAAGGCCAAAAGTTGAATGTTCCACAGTGCATGAGAACTAATCAAGCCTTTAGCTGTTTCTTCCAAAACTTTTAACAGAAACCAAATCTATCGACATAAATGAAAATTATTTAAAAGACAACAACAGACATACAGTGGACTGGTTCCATTTACTGAATTTCAGTCTTTGCTTATATTTTCACAGATTTAAGAAAACAAAAACTTCGTTCTTTATATGCCTGTTTGGGAAAGCAACACTTTATCAGCAAGATTAGCACAATTTGTAAGAGAAATTTCTTGTCACCAAGGAGTACAATTTTTAGTCATTCACATAAATCACCAGTCAGCTTCATGTTTGCATGTTTCCACAAGTACTTTGGTTCTAGGGCTTTCCCTGGGCCCTCTTGGGGAAGACAGAGTGGGAGTTACATTACTGTGTAGCCAACTAACACAACAGGCCTGGAATCGTTCTAACTTAAAATCACTCAGTTTTACCACAGGAACCCACAGCTTAACCCAGGAAGAGTGGAAAAGCTAAATGCACCATGGACAGGGCCACGGGGCAGAGTTATGCAGTTTGTGCCTTTTAGAGGATTCCCAGCAGAGGGGTGGGAAAAATTAGACCCCCTGTGGCTCCAGCTTAGGAAACAACAGCATCTTTGGAGAATTCATCCGCCCAGGGACATGCCCTTTTGTAACTGTTTCTACTGCATAGTGGTTAGCTGAGAGACTGGTGCTAGAAGTTTCTCCCAGGAGACATCCCTAAGGCATATTATCTCACACTCACAGACAAACAAGAGTCCAGCAAACCTTTTGTGTTCTCACAGACCAGAAATATCAATGCTATGAAGAGTTACATTGGTTGTCAAATTTAAAAGGAATCTCAGTAAGTACAAAGGCAGGCACCTAAGTAGAAATACATAAACTAAACTGAGCTATCTGGCACTAAGCCAAGCGGGAAGCCTAGATATCACAGACACAAATTTTTAATCTAAATGAGTCACAGCAGGTGTAGTTAAACACACGATACTAAAAATTTCTTATACGATTTCGCTCTGTTTTATGAATCCAAATTATTTCTGTAACATTGACATACTCGTATGTGACTATGATCCTTTCATATTCTAAAAAAATCACAATGTATATTATCTCACTGTACACAAACCTAACATATATGGCAGGAATGTTAAAATATGTGCTTTATTTATAAACAACTAAACCGTCTATCTGAGAAAGTTTTCCCATGTAAGCAATCACTAAAGCAGCATGAAACAGCTTTACCAGGTTTACCAGGGCAACCCCCATTCTAACTGCTTTATATTCTCTCCCCCTGTTGTTTTATATTTTCACCCTTCTAAGAAATGTTCATATCTTTTACAGTAAGTTACCTGAAAGATTAGTTCTTATGGGAAAGAAAAAAAAGTCAGTGAAATAATTAAAATGAAACCCATTTATGGACAATATTAACTTACAAATAGATTTTTAACAAAACAGAATCTTGAATGCTTCAAAATATTTGACACAAAGTTTTATTCTACTGAATTGAATTACATAAATTCCCCTCGTATGGTCCATGTATTTCAGTAGTAGATATTTTTCAGCACTTGATAAATGTTAGATATCAACTATAAATATGTTTTATCTTTTCTTCCTATATTGATGAAATGTAGTGCTGCACCTAATCAGAAATTTAGGATAAAGGACTTTATAGAACTCATATATTAATTAATAAACTCAACATTCTAATTATTTACTATTAAAAAAATGAAATACCTTTTGTAGACTGGTAGGATTTAGCTGAGTTTTATCTATTATTTTCACGGCAACCTAAAAAAGAGAATCATTAAACTGTATTTGAGAATATATATTTTAATGCATAAAAACTTATGAAGAAAATATCTTTTGTTTCATTCCTAACTAGATATAATTTAGCTATTATACATTTGGTTCACATAATCGGATGGTAAAGTTTTGATAATTTGGCAGCCTTAGAATATATTCCACTGATCTAAGTTTTTAACCTAACTTGATTCTAAGTCAGTGAAATTACACTTTTGTTATTTCTTCTAAGTTTCCTCTTATAAAGTAAAAATCATCTGCATTTTAATCTTTTATTCATGATCTTGATAAGTTACAATTATCAAAAGGGAGGGGCTTATAAACTTTCAGTAACTTAAGTATTAAGTAAATAAAATGATTACACGGATAGAGAAATTGGACACCCAAGCTGACTTATAGGAGGCTAACAAAATGGATTTGAAGGTCCTTTTAGTCTTTTTCTAATATTGCCTGTATTTGACAGCTCCTGGGGTCAGAATGGAAGAGAGGACTCAATTGAACTAGAAGTGACAATAATACTATATATGGAGCAAAATGAAAACATTTATGACGGAGATTTTTCATAATGTACTAATTGGATCCAATAAACATTATGTAAAATAGAGCATTAGATTTTAGCTATTTGCAACCTTTAACATATAATTTATTAAATATATTAATGTTACTAATAGCTATTATTAAATATGTAAAATTTTGCCACATACACAATTTAAAACACATGGGATTTTAAGACCCCAATTCTCTTATTACCTAAGAAAAACAACATTTGCTCAATGTGGTCTATAAATAGATAAAAATTAGTGGGTTCCTTTCTACACATTTATACCTAATTTATCTTAAGGAGTAATTACTAAGAACCTACCCTAGCCCTGATATTGGGGTAGGGTAGCAAAGGTAACCAGAAATGTTTACAGAAACCATATAATGAAAGACAAGTCTGAGAAAAGCACATTTGCATCAGACTTGATCTTTAAGATGCTGCTATGTACAGATGATTCTTTTCTACATGTAAAAAGGCCAACCTTTTATGCTGTGAGACAGCTCTATCTGTGTGTGTTCCAGTCACACATCTTCCATTATTTACCATATTGCAACTGCCATTTACTTCCAGCATCAGCTATCGGAAAGGTTTTTAACAAGACTCTGGAGAGGTAAATATTCAATATCCAAGTAAATATTAAAAGACATCATGAAAACTTACCTCTCTACCTGTTAGAACATGCCTTGCCAGTTTCACTTTGGCAAAATTTCCCTTCCCTATTGTTTTTTGTAAACGATAATTTCCAATGTGAGGCTGTTCGTCTGTTGCTGACGTAATGGAGTTTCTACACCGAGGGATGTTCTGTCTGCTACTTGACTTGGTAGGCTGAATATGTGGTTCAGTATATCCATCCACGGATGTATGCTAAGAGAAAGGTTACAAGAGCTCATTGTTAATTCCATTATAAAAGGACAGTTAAAAAGACAAGAAATAATTTCACTACTAATTCATCTTCAATGGAAGTACATTGTATTACACAATTTTAAAGTTTGCGTGTTCTATTTATAATTTCTACTGGACGTTAGCTCCCTCTGCCAGGGGGACTGTAAGTAACTATTTAAAATGAAATGTTCTGCACGGCTTTAGTTCTATGCTTTTGATTACAAAAATGTAAATGGCTCGACGGATAGGAGCCCCGCAGGCCATCACTCCCCTGAGGGTGTTGTTACCCCCTTCAGGCTGAGATGACACGTAGTCCAGGATTTCTTCATTAAAACACCTCTGATGCCAAGACAAAACCTCCTGAGTCCAGTTATGTTTCTCTAAACTAGACCAAATCCTTGTCATGTCCACGCTTTCATTGCTGGACATGTAACTCGGCTACTGACCAACCAGCTGCCTATGTTGTAAAGATTACGTAGGGCATCAGATGGGCACTGGGCTGTGCAGATGCCCGACCACTGCACTGTACATCTAACTGGCATCTTAAAAATAGCTGAAGGTGAGTAAACAAATTAGCAAAAGAAGGGAATATCTTTTATTTGCAAAATAACTAATTCAGACTTATGTTGTCCCATCTACATGACCAAGGCTGACCTAAAAATCTGTGATGAGGAATTCCTTAAAGGCACTATTAAAGACGCCCCATTACCAGTCCCATCCAAAGCATGGCTCAAGGTCAGTCTTTTTTCTATATGTCACTACTTCCTAATTTTTTAAAAACTCAGCTCAGGATTAAATTAAGTCATGACCAGAAGGCAAAGTTAACTCTATACAAGAAAAATGTTACAGTTTATCACCTCAATTTGAAAATCATAGAGTAGCACTGAGTGATAAGCCATAAAAACAGAAACAAGATGAGAATAACCTATTAAACACTCTCATTCAACATTATAGTGATGCTAGATAGACGAGCAGTGCTTTTTAAGGAGAAAAATAGACAGGGGAAAGATTTATTTGTATTCTCTTTCCACCACTGGCATGAATATAAACATAGAAAATGCAAGTAAGTCAATGCAATCTTTTTGGAAGCGCTACTTGAGTTCAACAAAGTTGTAAGAGGGAGGAAACAGCCTTAATAATCAATTACATTTGGAAAAAATCATTTGGTGAACCCTGAACTCACCCTTTGATATTCACCTTAGACATTACCACCCAGGAAAAGCCACACATTTAGTCAGAGTGCCTATTCCCCCCTCACCTAAGCTGGGTTTGGTGCCCGTTTTTGGTTTTGTTATAGTAATTTCTAGCAATTCATTGCCTCCAATTTTTAAATTAATTTTTATTAAAATGATATATGCACATGGTCAATAATGTCAAGTAACTCTAACAGACTACTAAGAAAAAATATCAGTCCCCTGTAACACCCTTCCGGACTTCAAGCCTGCTCCCAAGCCTTTTTCCCTTCCTTTTTTTCTTCTAGCATTTGCTTAGATGTTTCTAAACAAAATGCTTTCATTGCTAATTCCTGGCTCATCGGTCTTAGACATTCTCTCCATTTCCTACTAGGGTCAATTAAGATTAAGATCTTTTAGCCCGTCTTCCCTCTTCTCATCCTCCTAATGTAAAATAATTAAAATTTCAGTTAAAAAGTATTGTGTTGGGGCCGGCTGAGTGGCTCAGTTAGTTAAGAGCTTGCCCAAGAGTGTGAGCTCTGAGCAACAGGGTCGCTGATTCGATTCTCACATGTGTCAGCGCCCCAAGCTGAGCTGCCGCTGAGCTGCCAACAGGTGGCAGGATGGCTCAGCTGGTGACAGCATATACTCCTAACAACAAGGCTGCCGGTTTGAATGGTGGGCTACACCCACCCACAACTCAAGACTGAACTTGCACCTTGAGCTGCCGTCTGTGTGGCTCAGTGGATAGAGTGTGTGCTCTTAACAAGGAGGCTGCTGGTTCAACTCCGGCATGGGATGGTGGCTACGCCCACCCGCAACTAATTGAACACAGCACCTTGAGCTGAGTAGCACGACTAGACTTGGAGCTGAGCTTGCTGTACCCTCCACAACTAAGACTGAAGGACAACAACTTGGCTGTTCCCCTTCCCCAATTCCCCAACACTGTTCCCCTTCCCCAATTCCCCAATAAAATCTTTAAAAAACAAAAAACAGTATTGTGTTTACATGATGACTTGTAAATACTAACTCATTGGAAGCCAAATAATATAGTATGATGCTTCTATTAAACTTTGTCACCTTCAATGTGGTATAGATAACACAAAATGAAATTCACCAAATTTCGGTATACAATGAGTTATGACAAACACATAAAGTCATGAAACACCATAGCAATGTAAATATGTAAAACATTTCATGTCGCCAAAATGTTCCCTGTGCCCCTTTGCTGTCGATGCCCTCCGTTTACTGTTCCGCTTTCTGATACTATTGCTTTTCAGGAATGTTAGAAAACTAGATCACACCATATAGAGTTTAACCTGTTATGTTCATTGTAATCCTGGACATAATTGGTCTTATTTCTGAATTTTGTTTTGTGTTTTAAGTGTTTTGTTTTATTTTGTCTATATTCACTGGATTTTCTTTGGTCTTATTTTTCTCCTCTAGTGATTTGGGAGCTCTGCCTCCAGGGTCTATCCTGTTGGTGGTTATTTAAACAATTTTAAGGGTAAAAGTCAAGTGCAGTGGGCTGGGGAAAAGTGGAAAATGAGGCAATGGAGCAGCGAAGGCAGACAATTCTCCTGAGACGTTAGACTTTGAAGAAGAGGCAACAGGGTGACAGGGGTACAGTGGGGGACGTTACTGTTCCTTTGCTTGTTTTAAGAAGGGTGAGACTTGAGCATGTTTAAATCCCAAGAGAAGGATCCAGTGGAGAGAGAGAAGCTGTGGAGACAAGAGCGGGAAAAGATAAGTAAAGTTCCTGGGAAGGTGGAAAGTGAGAAAATGCAGAGCACAGATGGAGCAATCGCCCTTATGCAGGAAGAAAGACATCTCTTCTATAGCAAGTGGAAAGGAACAGAAATCAGGTCTAGATGCAGAAAGGTGTGTGCATTTGATAGTAGGAAGCCGAGGTAGTTCCAATCTGATGGCTTGTACTTTCTCTGTGTGGTTGGAGGTAAGGTCACCTGCTTGAGTGAAGAGGGGCCACCGGTTTGCAGAGTAGAAGGGATCTGAAATAATTTCTATAAAGGAAAAACAAGTTAACCGAAGAAGCCCAAGAGGGCTACTGGGCAGTACTGACAGTCTAGCTGAGATTGGCGACCATGAATTTATTGCGGCTCTCATCTGTCCAGTTGTTTCATTTTCATTAGTAATACTCGTGCCCATGGACAGGTCTGCAGAAGCAGATACATGAGTTTTTCCCGGTCTGAAGTTTGCCAAACAGGTGTAACCCAACAAAGAGAAAGTGGCAAAACGTGTTAGGTTATTGGTGAGTTATTGAAATGACAGATCATAAAATCTAAGCTGGATAGTGAAGGAAATGAACACAAAAAAGCGTTGATGGCTAGGGAGCCGTAGAGGCCGATCTACTGGAGCGCCCAATGAGATCAGAGAATAATCACAGCAAGACTAGCTGAGAAAGCTGCTAGTGGTGAAGTGCTGGTCTTCAGAGATCTGGGTGACTGGATTAGTGACACCAGAAGGACAATCACCAGACGCTACCACTATAGGATGTTTTGTTAAAACCACCAAAAACTGTTCTGCATTTTTTCAGATTTTTTTTAACATGTGCCTATTCTACTTTTAAAACTTTTTAAAGAATTGCATTAAACCTCATAGCCACATTAGAAAATTATTTTTAATTAGCAATAATGTTCACTGGTTACATTATTTATGGTCATTTCTTACATCCCTGCAGTTCCCTTTCTTAGCTTCACTTTTTCTAGTTTGCAAAAATGTTTCAAGTAGGTGTGTGGTGTAGGTAATATACTGTCTGAATCACTGCAGCCAATTTTTCTTCATTTTAACTTCACATATAAACAGTAATTCAGATGGACACAGGAGACATACAAAGGAACATTTTCCCACTTATTTCTGGATTTGTTCCAGAAGGTTGAAATTTTTAGAATCACAACTTACTGAAAACCAGAAAACCATTACAGTTAAATTGTGACTCATGAATGACAAAACAATAAGACAAAATTCTACACAATCTCCACGTGACAAAATTTTTATAAAATTTTATTGAAGGAATAGATGCAAATACAAAGGAGAATTAGTGATACGTCATCGATGTTGTCAGTATCTCCTATCAATGGGGAACTAAGAGATTATTCAACAAATGGTACTGTAACCACTAGAAAAAAAATTAAGTTGGCTCTCTAGGAGCGATGTATCACTCCTTACATCAAAATTAATTCCCAATGGATTAAAGATATAAATGTAAAAAAAACCCCAAAAACAAAAGACTAAGAAGCCATAAAAGTAAGCACTAGAAAAAATAAATGACAAGCTAGCAATTGTTTTTATAGTCTCAGCATGGGAAATACCTTCCTAACTGTGACACATAACAGAAGCCATAAAAAAAATTTGACATAAAAAAGCAAAACAAAAAACCTGTTTTTTTTTAACTCTCCTTAAATCACAGAAGATAAATAAACTGAGAAAAATATTTGTAACATGTAGCAGGCAAATGGTTAATTTTTTAATCCTAAAACCTTTGACAAATCAATAAAAAAACACTCAATGGGAAAGTAAGAACAAACAAAGGTTAGGTACAGATATTTCACCGAAAAAGAATGTATCCATGACTCTGAAGCATATGAAAGGATAGTCATCATAATAAATTAAATACAAATTAAAGCTACACTGAAATGAATCAATCAGATTAGTAAAGATTAGAGTTTGACAGCATTAGTCAGTAAAGCTATCATAGAAACAGGCACACTTGTATATCATAAATCAGAGTGAAAACTAAAAGAAATTCTACATAAAGGGATTTTACAATATCAAAGAAATTCCTACAGTCGT